CCCTTCGCCCCTACGGTTTTCGCGCACCACGTCATTCGTTCGTGCGAATTCGCGCCCGTCAAGCCCGGAAGAAGGATAACGAGACTCGCCGCGCGTCTCGGTCTCTCGACCGCGAATATCATCGCCGCGAGCGAAACTGCCCTTTGGCGCGCGACGTGGCCTTCGTGCACGCTGTCTTCTGCTGTCTTTAACGAGGCGGCCGAGAGCTGGCGTTCCGAGTTACGAATTAGCTTAGATGCGAGCTTCTCTCTGTACCGCCCCCGTCCTCCCCCACGCGCGTACACGGCGTCCACGGTGTGCGGTACGTGTTAAATGTTTGTTTGTTCACATTCCTACACTTGCCAAATAGATAGAGCGATTTGCGCAGCCAGCTAGCTTAGGTGGCCCCCCTCTCCTTCGGTAATCAGTCAATCAGTCAGTCAATTAATCAATCAGTCGATCAATCAATCAACCAATTAACGGATCAATCCATTAGCCTAACGACCATGAGCCGTTTTTTCTCGTTTTATATGTGTAACCTTTATCAAGTAACATAACGATTGTGTTCTTCTTCTCGTGTTTTTGCATCGTTACAATTGACTCACGTCGAGCTGTGTGTGTGTGTGTGTGTGTGTGTATGTTAAGTACCCAGTAAATATCAACCTAACAGTAACATTACAACAATGTTATAATTTCTCGAATCGAAATTTCGGTTTTATATTCAGTCTATTTGGTTCTACATTAAGTTTTTAAAGGTCTTCCATTATGCTTCTTTTAATACTACAAATGAGAAATCATTTCTGTTTTCTCCGCTTGAAGACTTCGTGTAGAATTTAAAATTTCTCCCCGGAAGATTTAAATTTCCTTTAACTTGCTAATAGTGCTACTTTGATGCTACAAATAAAAGGCTATTTCCGTTTTCTCCATTTGAAAGATCCATTTGAAAATGCAGAACTAAATAAATTTAAACCTATATTCTGAACTCTCCTTTATCGATAAAGGTGCCTTAAATGTGGTTTCTCAGCCAACTAAGCGGCTTCTGAACCATTTTTAGGAGCATTTTTATCGATAAAAGAGAGTTCAGAATACGGGCCTTAATGTAGGAGCAAAATTTCGACTCGGGTTCCCACTCAACGATGTACCTATTCTGTACAACGCATGTTAGATTGCACTTATATTGTTGAGTGAGGCATTGATGTTACCGTTGGCGTTTACTGGAGTAACATTTCTGCCTGTTCGTCATGAACGATCAGCGTGATGTGACTTAATCGATTAATTCATGGACCTTGCGCAACTACACCGTAGGGTCATTCCACAATTACCATTCACTTGTTCAACTTCTTTAACTGTTTGTTTAACACGATCGAATTAATCTCGAGTATCGATACGGCGAGATGCGAAATGAACAGTGACGCTTTCTTTTGCGAACTGAAATATCTTCCCGAGAGGCCGAGAAAGAGGAAATCGCTTGTATCTGTAACTGTAAATAATAAGCGGAGTTATTATTTAAATTACACATACACACACGCATATGTATTCCCATAAGTTGGAAGAACTGGATGATAACTGTGGACCATCCTACATCACGGTTTACGTATACGTGACGCATACATTTAACAGAGACACGCCTTGAGAGATGCATATACTGTGATATATATAAATAGAAGCTGTTGAAAAGATCACGCGGAATATATTTATATCGTTCTACGTGTGTACGATGTAATGCTGAGAGAGGGACTCGAGATTAGCGGTACGTTGACAATCACTTGCATCGGGACAGATTTACCCTGGTTGCACGCTACGTAGAGGAGACTGTTGGTGGTGAGAATACGGCATGACTAAACTGTACTACTCTCTGAGTGTGGCGAGTTTTTATCTCTACCGCTTTTTTGTCTAACACCCAGCTCCTCTTTGAGTTTACGTGCAAGAAAGCCCGAAGATCGACGGGAGTCGCGTTGTTCTGCGGTTTTACCCGTGGATCCCCTTGCGTTAAGAATAATTTATACATTTTTTCGTTAGAAAGAGAGAGAAAAAGAAACTGTGTCATGTTGAGTATACAAGGTTGTGGAATGAACGAATAGCGGCGTCGAGCCGATGCTTCGAAGCAAGTAGACTGCATTTGATTAGCTGGTTTTCTAGCTGCGAATTAGTTGAGTTTGAACCGGTGTTATGAACAGTTTTATCATACGATATCTAAGAAGACTTAATACAATGCATGGAGATTTTGATTGCGTCTTGATTTTTTTTTTTTTCATTTCTTTCCATTCAGTATTGTCACACATGTATGATACTTTTCCTCGACTCCTCCGACCCTTCGTCGTAGTTTAGCCTTCGTAGAAGATAGATCGTAGCATCTAAATCCTTAGGCTTAAATTAATTACACATGTGTGTACGTGGATTATTCATCCTCTGTATGTGGAAAGATCTAAAGTGGGGGTTTTTCTTTTCTTATGTAATTTCGATAATTTCACGGCAAGCGCATTTAAAGATTCCTGTCCGCTTTAACGTTTTTCTTATATCGGTGACTGAGAGAAAAAGGGTTTCTTGCGTTATTGCATATGTTGTACGATTTAATACAAAATCTGAAGTGACAACACGCGCGAAGCATATATTTATAGTCGATTATGTTGATCGTATCGTGTGTAAATTAAGAAGTAGTTAGTATATATGTCTATATAAATACGTCGAATAGAAAAATGAAAAAGACTGCCAAGGAAGATGTAGATGTGTATCTTAGAACAGCTGAATTTTTATATCAACGTATACCGAGAGAAGGGACAGTAATTATTTATTGATCAAATATATTTTAGAGTAGGCCGGGTGCGTCGTATTATGAGGATTGTTATCTTTGATAGTTGCATATTAGTTCAAATACGATATCTTATTTATAGATAACGTAACGGTAAAGAGATCATATATTAAACGCTGTACATACCTATTTTTGCATAGTACTTACACAGAGAAATTTATTTATTAGAGAGATATACAATACGAGATATAGAAAGATATACAATACAATACGCATATATAAGTAAAGAGAGTATAACATACGATTAAAGGAAGGATGAAGTAAGAAGAAACCTCCGACGTAAGGTTTCTTTGTCACTTCAGATTCTCATACTTCGGAACAAGGTAATAGTCTATCTATCGAGCACCCCCTCGAGCTTGTACAGTATATTTATATTTTTTTAAGACCGTCACGATTAGTTTTGTATTTAACCACTGTATCACGTTGTTTACTTCGGTGCAGTTAATTGGGAACAATAAATGTGCAATGCTGCTACTGCTTGCTTTTTTATTTATTAACCCCTCACTCTTTTCTTTTCCTTCTCTAACAACTTCCTACTGCGCGGTTTCTGGGGAATCTTCTTAACACGTTTTTTTTTTCTACAGTTTCATTTCCGTTTAGTTTTGTTCTCTTCGGTTTTTCAATCTGAAACGCGTTTTCGCGTTCCTCGGCAATATTTCAGGATCCTTTACGATTTTGCAGAGATTGTTTTTCTTTTTTTTCATACGCAGAGTGAAGCGATATAACCACTTTGAATATCTCCGAAATACGAGAGCGGGAGAAAAATCTGGCGGAGATTTTGCATCGGTACCAATGATCGTCACTTCGAGCATTTTCTCTAAATGTAAATTTTCTTCATCCTCGTCCAGTCGTCAATGAAATGGTTTCATTTCCCGAGGATATATTCAAGATGATAATAATAGCTATTGCCTTACCCTGTATCTCACAGTAGAGATTTCTGTTCGTGCGAGAAGAGACAGTCGTTGTACGCGATACAAATTCCAGCAACGCGTAACAATCTCGAAATCACCCGAAATCAGCAATAAAACAGAAATGATCGCTCGAGTCCGGCGTCGCTCGCCAAGAATGACACCTGCCGAATAACCGAGTTCGCTTTCGCGATTGACACGCGCCCTAATATTTTCCGTTCGACCGGCGATCGTTGCTCGCGAGCTTCAGCCCCCGAGAGCCCAAAGATCCTCGCGGCCGCAACCTGACCGTCTGCTCTGTTTCTCCGACAGTACGAACTAAGCGCCGGAAGAAGCAGCCACGGCCGCTGTACAGCATCGAGTACTCTCAGCCGGAGCCGCCGGTGCAGGACGACAGCGTGTCGCCGAAGCCGATGACCCCTCGCAGGGTGAAACGGCGCTCGGTGATCTCGCGGGACGGCACGCGCCGCTCGAGCAGACGCAGTTCGGTGCGGCAGTCGCGCCGGAAGAACCCGGTGAACCGCATCATGGACCACCAGGAGAATCTGTACGCCAACACCACGCCCATCAGCCAGCTGACGAACCAGAACGTGAACACGCTCAACTCGCAATCCGGCACCCTCAACTACGACAGGATCTCGTCGGTCGGCTGGGAGCGCGACCCGCGCAGCGCCAACTGGCAGCCGGAAGCGGTCAACCTGGCGGTGTCATCGCCGGTTCTGTGGGCGCAAGACTCGACCAACAATTTCTCGAACGCGTCCAGCTACCCGAGCCAACCGCAGAGCTCACCGAGCTGGGATCAGGTTGGGGCGAACTCTACCCGCAACCTCACTGATAACTGGCAGACCTCGACCGAGCTCAGCCCAATGCAGTGGCAAGGCCAGAGCAATCCCACGTTCCAGCAGACGAGCACGCAGAGCTTGAACGGCGAAGACCTCGAGGAGTTGTACGGCAATCGACCAGCCAGCGCCAGGTCGAGTTACAGCAACTACCACGGAGTCAGGGCGACGCCGCAGGTGCCTAGTCGCACCGACGTGGTCAGGCAGAGTCAGCGGCAGTTCGTCCTCAGCGGCCCACCCGCTTATCAGGACACGGTGATTTAACGGTAGCGTTCATTGAGACGATATAACGAAACGCTCCGGTACATCTTGTCTCGATAGAATGGGAGCCGTTCGAGAAACGAACCAGGGTCGTTGCAGATCGAGGCCTAGTAGGATCCGGACCGATTCATTGTCAAGGATAACCTGGCCTGACCTGTATTTAAAGCCAGATCCGGGCCCGGGTCAGTTTCTTACCGGAAAGATACCCGAAAGATGATCGAAAAATGATTCGGGCTTGGATCTGACTTTGCCAAAGCGGATACAAATCGGGCTAGGTTACATCCGCATTTGGTTTGTCCGTTTCAAGGAAATTTAAGCAAACCGTGTACTATCGGGCCTCGATTGCAGGACTTTAGGACGAAGCGGACCTTGCGGGATCTTATCTACCGTTAACCCGCGATGTCGCTTCGAAGGATGACGTTCGCTCGCGATACGCGGACGTTCACCGTGCGACCAGCCGACGTAGTGCAAAGAATCGGCCGCGGATCCGGCGCGGCCGAGATTTCACGCGAGCCCATTTTACGACATAGGCGTGAGCCTGACTTCCTCGAGAAGAGAAACGAATCGAAGGGGCGTAACGCAGACTGACGTTTCTCGAATGCACAGATCTTACCACGTACAAATCGCACTCGCGTCACTCGCGGAATGGCTCGCGCACGCGGTTACAATGAAGGTTGCCTTCGCTCTCAGGATAGATTTACCCGACTGACGTATGTGAAATGTAGTTTTAAAGGCCCGGAAGAGAAAAGCCGGTTTTCTTCCATTTTTCCGCGGATCGGTGAAAAGAATCGCAGAAAAGGATTTTCTCCTATTCTTCCGTGAATTTGTTCGGTTTCGTTCCGAGGGAAGGATTGAAGAAAGCGGTTTTCTTTTCTAAATGTAATGTGAAACTAGTGTACTTAAGATACGGACGGTCTTAAACGGACCGGCGTTAGAATCTTTAAGGGAGCCACTCTCTTTTCGTCATCTGTCCTCGTTACCGAGAACCTCCGCGGAATAATTTCCTCGTCCCCCCTCACCATTCCCCTTCACTACCATCTCTACTCATCCTATTTATATCATGGGACTAAGGTTTCTCTTGTTCTGCGCATAAAATCAAAAAAGAGATCATCGCATCATCTGTAAATATAGATATCTATAGTCTCGCTCGTCGCTCTCGTCGAAAGTGTGTCCTCGACGAGAGACGACGCAAAGGAGACGATCGATTTTATTTGCGATCCTCACGAATCTTCACGGGCAACCTGTTCGCGCTTATTCTCGATGCTTTAATTACGCGGATTACCAATCAAGAAGTCACTCCGACGCGTCTTTGAAATTCACGGTATTTTCGCTAATCAACTATTTTATATCGGTGTATACGTACAACTCGCGCGTGTGGATATTCGGATATACGTGTGTATGTCCGGACGTACGTTTACTTAGTCTTCCAGTTTCTATCGGGTGTCGCGGATCTCACAGGGAATATCGTCCAAGTATCCGACGTATTTCTTGAGACACGCGACCAGCCTCATTTTAAAGAAGTGAAACGCGCCTTTCGCAAAACAAGGGAGGAGAAGAAGAAAGAGAAGGATCAAATTTATGTACTCCTTAGATTTAAACGCTTGACAAGATGTTTCGAGGAGAGGGACGTTCGCGCCTCGGCAGCTTGGATGGTATTCTTCGGCAGATAATGAAGATCTGCGATCTTCACTTTTGTCCGCACTTTTTAGCGGCAAGCGATCGCCTGTACAGAACGGCAATAATCACGTACGATATTGCGATGCGTGCAATACTGCCCGTTTTGCAGCAACATGTAGAATCGCGAGATGTAGTTGCGACAATTTGTATTCGCTGAGAAATTGCAATCAACGCACCCGAGCCGGTTCTTTCCCGATCGTTTGCGCGTCACCACGATATCCTTTTTATCGTTGGAATATTTCGGGGAAATCTACGAAACGAGGTTGAATTTATTTCTCCCGAGGGAGGGAGATTTTTTGACAAAGTATCCTTTTGCCGCTCAATTCGACGAAGACGGTGATTGTCGGTTCGATAAGAATCAGCGAAGGACTGAATAACTCTTCGTAAGACGTGTTTTTTTTTCTCACAAGTATTAATACAATTTTACACTAAAAAGGGTAATTCACGTCTGAAAAAGTATGCGTCGTAAAGTTCGAGTAAGGAGATAGATACCAAAGTGTATTAAATATCGACGTAAACTTAAGGTGTATAAACTCTGAAACTGCCTCACTTGTTTCGTGCGATTATTGTACAATATAGAATTAATTCTGAAGCTAGTTCGATGTGTTTTCTCAAATAAGACGCGGCAAAACGACTTCGCACCGCGCTTTAGTTGTAAGAATCTCGTAGTTCTTCAATCGCGCAATACTTTTGTTAGTCGGATCATTACACTCACGACTGCAGTAGGATAATTTTATATGCAAGGCAGCTGTTTTAGCGAGACTTACACATATTTACGGAATTATTATATATATATATATATATATATATATACAGAACGGAGCATACTTGGAGAATTATTAATATTGTTAATATTATTATTAATATTAATATTGCTATTATTATTAATATTATTAATAATATACTAATAATGTTATTAATATTATATTATTATCGATATCCAGTGCACTTGGCGTTTTTTTCATTTACTAAGACAACTTCACATATCACATCTTGCTTTAACTCGTTCTTGTTTTAAACGACAGGAATCTACGACGATAATTTGTTATTAATTACACAATGAGATAAGGTACAATATTATTCGATATGACGACTATACTGTCCGAATCTCACACTTACTTCGCAATGTATTATCGTGCAAGAATTGCGAGACAATAAACAATAAGTGTTCATTAGTCTATTAATCGACCTTACTCCCCTGCATTTTATCTCTTTAATTCTTTTAATTGCATTTCATCTCCTAAATTTTTTCAATTCACGCAAATTCGTCTTTTGGAATGTAGCGAACAAACGAATGTTCGATTCGACAAGCAGGATTTGCTTTTTCATACAACGAAAAGACATATTCTCGAACTTCGGAGTACGACGAGAGACGGTGCGATATCGATACAGTTTCACGCGGTCGAATTCCCCGACGAGATATCGCAGCTCGAGGTCATTTCGCGGTCCCCCGTTTCCAGGATAATTCGCGCAGCGAGCGACGAACCGACCACGAGTCCGCGGCGGCGTGTCGCGCAGCGGCTACATCGCGAAATTCCCGGCGCGTCTCATCCCCAAATCGCGCATGTCCCACCGGCCGGTTTTTCCACGGGCGTCCACACGACCCTCGGTGCAGTAGACGCCAGTCGTCGGGTCGCCGAGGGTCGGCCGTCTCTCGTCTCCCGCCGCCGTCTTCGTCAAGTGTCAATCGCAAAAGGTGCACGAGTGTCGGGGATTCACAGTGAGACCTGGATCCTCGTGGGGGTGGATAGCAGCCCGAGTCGTAGAAAATTGTATCCCGCGAATATAGACTCGTGCTGGTACGAGTGACGAAGATTCAAGGCGCGAAGAAGCGGACGCGCACACCACATCGATCAGAAAATCCGGAGAGGTCGGAAGAGGGATTCCGTCGGAGGAGGGCTGTCTGCCTCCGAGTGTCCATTTAAACGCTTACGTCTCGTCGGATTCTCCATCAGTCGATTCTCACACGCGAATCTCACGCGAGAATCGTTCACGATCGCTCGCGACTTAGTCCGGAAATTCCGCCGAGTCGAGAGAGCGGACTTATCGAAAATCTATCAACGGGAGGGACTTCGGTGCTGCTGAGGTGCGAGGATGCTGAAAATCCTGAGGATCGGGGCGACCGGGCTCAGGAGGTTGCACTCCAGCGGGAAGGTGAGGACGCGTCGCGCGCGCGAGAGATGCGGCGAAAGAGAACGCATTTCAGCTGGCAACTCGCACAGATGCGTGGGAACGCGCGAAATCGCGCGAACGTTCTCTCAGCGAGCGAGAGAAAACCCTTGGTCGAACATGGCGTTCGCGTTACGTCGCATTACGCAATACCGGAGATATTCCCGCGGGAGAGCTGGAGTTTCGCATTCGGCGTTCGACGATTTGTGCGACGTAATTCGCCGCTGTGTTCCCGAGGAATCGCGACGGGCGGAAGAGCGGCTGATCAATCCCGACGAACGCGGGCCACGTGAGCGCCGACAATGGCCTATATCGGCGACAAAAATACTTTGTCTACACGTCGTAGCTCACGTGCGTTCCATTTTGTGTGCCAATGAGACGCTCGATTTAGACTCGCTCGCTTAGAAGTTCGCGCGTGACAAATCGATAATGATCGAGACATTCGCACACGTTGACATTGATCGATTCTCTTACCGACGTCATACCGCCGAGAGACGAGAATTGGTAAGATACCGATGCGTCGAAGAATGATTAAAGAGTCTCCAAGACGCATGAAAAGATCTGGAGATCGCAAAACACAATCAGATGTTATCGCGAAAATCTTCTTTATAGACCGATGATTTGTTTATTAATTTTCTCAAATTGTCAAAAGACGAGTGCGTTACCAGCGGGGCGTTTTTATCAGCGTGATGAAACACGTGATATTCCGAACGCACGGATATTGCGATTGCGTAATTAGACGCGCGAGTAGAGCGATTTTTCACGAATCCCATCCTCCAATCGAGCGGCCTTTCAATTTTCATTACCGTACGCGGCATCGTATCGTACACGCTTTCGCGTCTGATCCGAATTAGGGTGGCACGTGGAAGGATTCCACTTAGAATATTAGATGTTGATTCATCGAAGGATCAATACAGAGAGCTGCCTGGCAACCGACGCGGTCCCTCCATCGGTCCGACTATCCCAAATGCTCGATTCCCTCGAGTCGCTTGTTACGGTTTGTTTCTTCTTGTGCTTACTTTTTTTTTTTTTTAACGAGAGTAAAATTACTACATATTTTCCACTCGAACAATTTCAATTTCACGCTAACGTAAGCAGCCACGGTCTCTTTTTATTATTTCTGTGAAACAATGCTCGCGATTTTGCAGAAGCATGCTGTGACGTCGTCGACGATGCTCGGGAACGTGAAATATCTGGACGCCGCTTTTGGAGCCGTAATGGAATTAGAACGTTCTCAGACACGGTAAAGAAAAGAACATTTATATATATATATATATATATATATATNATAGAGAAAAAGATATCTTTGGCTTTAGCATACGTTCTTGTTCAATAGAAACCACATAATTTAAAATCAGATATCATTTTGTTCGAATGAAAATGTTTCGCTAGGATAAACTATGTTGTTTAATAGGAAAAATAACATTTAGAGAAAATACTCGGTTTCCGGTAAAAAGAAAGTTTATTCCATTCTGCATTAAATATTGTTCCACTGAGACAAGAAAGAAGTTCTTCAACATTTTTCTCACGTGGTGTTTCATTCAAACAAATGATTATTTGTGACTCCGAAAGACAAATTTATTTCAATGAAAGAAACTGTGTTAAATCTCAAGAAATCTTTTTCTCTGTATATAGTTGTAACTTTTGCGAGGCGTAAAATCAAGTACACTCGCGGCGTACTAGCGAATGTTTTGCGCGGTACTATTTTAGTACAAATTAATACACTTGTGTGAAAGAAAATCCGATTGGCGTAGCGCGAATTCATTTCGACGTACGCTTAAGCTCGCGTGACGCAAACGTAACGCCGGAACGCGAAATTTGAGCGCGGATACGCGCGTAATTGCATATCCTGATTACAAAACGATACACCATGACGCGCGGCAGGAATCTATTTCGCATTGGAGGTATCGTGATCGTCTTTCAACGGATAAACCAGAACGATCGATATCAACGCGGGCTTTGCCGCGGTCTGTTGACCCGTCGCAATTGTCGGGTCGAGCGTTATTATTGGCTGTCATTTAAGTGCGCTGGATGCAACATGTGATCCCTCGCATCGTGATTTTATTGCGAACTGCATAACAGAGAGAGCGCAGAAAAACTGCGAGGTCGCGAAATACAAAGTAAATCACAAAGACGAATACGCCTTCCGTCGCTCTGCGGAAATTTCACACACAGCTGTGTCGAATTTTGCGCGGTGCTCGATTGATATCTTTTCATCCGGCATCTGTAAAGTAACGGATGACTTTTAATTCTGGGGACGTATTACGAGAATCACGGTTTTATGTGAAATATTAAGTCATTCGATAAGATTTGTAAACATAGGCGGCTCTTTAACACCACGAGCGAGAAATATTTAGATTTGAAATACTTATTTCTTTTGGAAAGGGTTGAACTGAAGGTGCCGAATTAATTTACACACCCGATGTAAGCGTATCGGCTTTAAAGTTTTCGTAAAAAAATCCGCACGAACTTACTCGTGCGATAATAATATTTCAAATATTCGACACTTCATAAAGTTCGTCATAAAAATGCGGTCAAGTCGTCCGACAGTCGCGAAATATAAACACTGCTCTTCCTACCGCCCGACTGACCTTCGTTCCTTCTTCTTCTTCCCCCACGCGGACCCTTTATAGCTCTAATCGGCTCTAATATACGAAGTAATTATTTGCCACCGGCTTCTGTTTGTTGCAATTGTTCGTCATCACACGCGAATTGCATGTTGCCCGCTCACTGCCGGGATGCCACCTGCTCCGCCGACGCAAATGCGATACTATTTTAAGACCTTTTTAAGACCGCCTTTTATCATCGCGGGGGGTGGGAAGTCGAAAGTTTGTCTTTTTCACGCGAGGTAATATAAGAATCGGCGGTGATCCTCTCGCAGCCAATAGACCCCGCCGCGATCACGCAGCCGGTTTACGGAGCGAATCTTCCGGATTTCGCGTGAGAGGAGAAAGAAGAAGAGGAAGAGGAAGAAAAGTCGCACCCCGCACGGCACTCGTTGAATTTCTTGGATTACGCGCCGTGCGCGAGAATCAGTGACTCGAGCGTATCTTGTGATCGCAGCAAAGGTGCACCGATCACCGCAAACGTATATAAATAATTCCGACTAAACCGGTTTATAACAATTCGACGCTAAAAGAATCCAGTCTGCATAACTCTGTGTGAATATAATAAAATAATCGATAGAGAATTTTAAACGGACGAACGCTCCAATTAAAAACATCCAATCGGTAGTCCCCCGATTTAAAATATCTCGAATTAATATTTTCTAACAAATATCACATCGTGCGTGCCCGTTGATCGTTGAACGTTTGAAGCGCGAGACAATCACGATGCCTTACATCGAGACGATCGACTGCGACTCCAAGCCCGCGAATTCCGATCTCCAGCTGGCGAGACTCTCGGACGATTACGCGATCAAGTCGAAAATCGCGTGCTCGATCTGGCTAGAGAAAAAGGATGAACAGTCGACGAGGATGTTGGCGCGCTTTCTTAGGTAACAGCCCCATTAACAATTATATTGTCACCACTAATGCGAGATCGTTTGTCTTGCTTTCCATTACAGCGAATACAGCTTCATTCATGACAGCCACTATATGTAGTGAGTACTATGCGCTATATTAATGCATGGCGTGACGTAAATAATTCATCGCGATTAACAACAGCATAATACTTAACGCTTCGTGTCATTTCATTGGCGACAATCGCGACGAGATCTCGCGGCGCGGCGTTTAACTCTTTTTTTTCGCATTGTAATAATGAACTTTGTCGTTTCGCTCGCAATAATTAATGTACGGTGAGTTTCGTTTTTTTCTTTTTTTTTTTAATAATTAAAGAGTAATTTTTGGCAATTATAGAGCGGACGATAACACGTCCTAGTGAGATTCTCGAAATAACGATCGTACGGTCGTCGAATGATAGATGTAAAGTGGCGTATAAGAATGCAAAGTGTTTGATTTGGATGAGTGTTGTTTTATTTGGATAGCGTTATCGTAATACAACGTGTTGCTACTTTTAATTGGAAATTATAGCGATAGTTGCAAGAGATATTTGTGGATTATTTTTAATAGTAGAGTAATTTGTGTATTGTTCTTATTTATCGTCGGGCAAACGACCCAAGCAATCTTTGTATAACATTCGTCTCCCCGACATTTTGCAGCACCAGAGATCAGGATCAAGCTACGAACGCGGAGGATGTCTTATTTGATATGTTCAAGAACGAGGAGACCGGCCTCTTGTCGGTGGGAAAATTCCTAGCTGTACGTATAATCGACGTCATCATTATTTCGGTGGCCGTTGCACTTATTAATTTATTTATAGTTATGTTTTGTAAATGTGCCCGCGAAATAATGTAAAGAACGTAGAGATCGACACCCCCCTTTTCAATGTTTCATGATATATTCAAGGCTCTAAGGACGACCGGCTTGCGGAAGAACGACCCACGGCTTCAGGAATTCTCCGACAATTTGAAGAAGGAACACATCAAAACCGGCGGTCACGAGGGCGCGTCGCACGAAACGCAGAAGCTCGACAGAGAACAATTCAGAAGGTGAGTCTACGGCCCCTCGAGAATGACCCCGCACGTGTGTACTAGAATTGATAGAAGAAAGAAAATAATCTTAAATATGTAATATATGATATATATTATATTATATCACATATTTTTTACATATATATTTGTTTACGATGGATTCGGCTTTAATTCGAAGGCAATGTGTTACCGGTTAACATATAATATGTTAACTTCACTTAACTTCAATTAAGTGCACGCAATTACCTTTCTTACGAGAAGAAGTGAATGTAATAGGTTTTAACCGCAAGTGAATATTTTTAAACAAATTTCTCTACCCTTGGGAGAGAAACCGAAAAGATTCGCAGAAGTGAAAAACCGGTTTTTTTCCCGAGCTTTTGAAACTATATTTCTGATATATTCCAATTTCTTATTCGCGAGTATTGATATCACTATGTGCGCTGTGCTTTTCTCCAGACTTATAAATCCCAACATCGTCCTGATCTCGCGGGCATTCCGACACCAGTTCATAATTCCCGACTGGGCCGGCTTCACCAAACACATAGAGGATTTTTACTGGAAATGCAAGACGAACACTGAGGGCAAAGTGGCTTCCTATATACCGCAGCTAGCTAGAATGAGCCCCGATTATTGGGGTGTCTCCGTGTGTACGATCGACGGCCAGCGATTCAGCATCGGCGACACCTCGATACCGTTCACCCTTCAGAGTTGCAGCAAACCGCTGACCTATGCGATAGCATTGGACAGGCTTGGTCAAGAGGTGGTTCATCAATATGTCGGCCAAGAACCGTCCGGCAGAAACTTCAACGAGCTTGTGTTGGATTACAACAGTGAGTTTTACTCGACACCGAACAGGACGGCGGTTGCTTCCGATACCTGAAGTGTTTTACCTTGTTTATTCTTTTATGCGTCTCAGTTTTCCTCTCACACGGATCTTTCTAATATCGACTTTTCAGTCTTCTAATTTCGAATTTTTCAATATCGACTTTTTGCTCGTCTCAGTCGCGTTTTTAGTTGTCGATACCGGACTTTCCAACCTTTCGAAATTGTTCAATCTTTTAATTTCAATTGTTTTAATATCGACTTTTCTTCTCAGAGAAACCGCATAATCCGATGATCAACGCCGGCGCGATATTGATTTGTTCGCTCTTGAAAACTCTGATTAAGCCGGAAATGGCGCTGGCTGAGAAATTCGATTTCACGATGGACTATTTCAAGAGACTGGCCGGCGGCGAGAACCTCGGCTTCAACAACGCGGTCTTCCTGTCGGAACGAGAGGCGGCCGATCGGAATTACGCGTTAGGATTTTACATGAGGGAGCACAAGTGTTATCCGGACAAGACGAATCTACGTGAGATTATGGACTTCTACTTTCAGGTAGCTATTTTTTTTTTGTTATCGCCTCTGTAATCGGTCAGGAAAGTTTAAGCAAAATGCTACGAGTTGCTTTCCTTCCTTCCAAGATGCGGTCCTTTTCATTAAATCTCTATAATATTTAATCTTTATAATAATCTGTCGATATTCTAACAGACAGATTCTTTAGTACGTTCAACGATTTATAGTCTACGACGACTGGAAGACGCCCGAACCGGTGTAAACCAGAATCTGCGATATTTCTATTTCGGCACCTTTCAAACCGTACACGTCGCTCACAAAATATTTGATTTTTATTGGCAAGTGCTGCGCCATGGAAGCGAATTGCGAGACAATGGCAGTGATGGCAGCGACTCTAGCAAATGGCGGCATTTGTCCGATCACCGAGGAGAAGGTCCTAAAACCGGATAGCGTCCGCGACGTATTGAGCCTCATGCATAGCTGCGGCATGTACGACTATAGCGGACAATTCGCATTCAAAGTAAGCCTAATGAACGCTAAAATCGCGTCTTCGAACGTACTGTATCGCACCGCAGCCAATTGGGTCGTAAATAACTTCTGACGGATACGTCAAATATTTAGTTTTTACGAACGCGGTGGAGAGTCGATAAGCTGCTTATTAATTGGGAACACACGTGTCACTAATCTAGGCGAATATATGTTACATGTGCTCCGATGGAAGTTCAAAACTTCTACATATGCTCCAGTATATATTAAAATATTACATATAAACATTAGAGACGTTAGGAAAAGCAAAATTTGTTCGTTACTAGAAATATATTAATAAATATAATATATATTAATAAACGGCTCTTTTAGCGACGCTAATAATGAAAGGAAAAAATAATAGCCGATAAATGGTGAATTATTTTTTTATCCCGTTTCTCACGTGCTGCGAAAAATGACTGAGGCAATATTTTTAACAAATGGATACAATTGATTGTTAAAACATTAAATAATTAAATATTTTAGAAATCGCGTTTTTCAGTGTTTGTTTTGATTCGATATAAAAATTGGTGATTTTTCTTTACATTTTAAATATTACTGTTGCATTGCATTTTAGGTTGGTATACCGGCGAAATCCGGCGTATCGGGCAGCCTCCTGGTGGTAATTCCGAATGTTATGGGAATTTGTATGTGGTCTCCGCCTTTAGATCCGCTTGGAAATTCCTGCCGCGGAGTCCAGTTTTGCGAGGAACTCGTGCGCGAATTTAACTTTCACAGGTAACGGATCCAATCGGTCGGAAATTAGACAAGCGCAAATCAGACGAATATAATGAACCGGACACGGTAAAAAAGATGATGATGAGATGAGATCAACTTATTATATATCTAGAGTTGAAATAAATATTCTTTTCAATTGCTGCAAGGATATGTATACTAAGCATATTTCGACTACAATGTACTTTACGTTGACTTTGAATATATTTCGAATATTAAAATTCTTTTAGACGTCCGCCTATTTTAACACCTCGCGTATTATTTCTCCTCATCTTCATCTTCTATCGCGGACGTCGCGCGCACGAGATTCAAAAAACGCGATTGTATTTCGGCCGCGTTGCTCGTCAGAGCTTTCCTCTCGATTTAACTTGCTCGCTACGACTGCAGGTACGACAATTTGAAGCACGCTACGAACAAAAAGGATCCTAGACGGCACAAGTACGAGACGAAAGGCCTCTCGATCGTTAATCTCCTGTTCAGCGCTGCCAGCGGTGACGTCACCGCGATGAGGAGGTGAGATACGCTTTGCAGAACCTGTTTAATAAAGATGAGCGCCCGTGAGGTATTTTTTGTCCGACACGCTTCTATACTTGAGAGACGCACTACGAACGTGTGTGCATCTGCCAGCTGCGGCGTGAACTTTAACACGAGACAATGTTGCGTTATGTCACGTGACCGGGAGTTCGCGACGATCGCTCCTACGATGGGACTTTTCACGAATTTCAAAAAGATCTGGAAAATTCGCGTCTTCTGAGATAATTTTCTTTTTTTTATTAACGGAAGCAAATATTATTTTCTCAAAGTGATATTTTTAACTTTATCAAACAACATGATTTACATTCAAACACAAAATGATACTTGATATTAAATTATAGGGTTTGTATCAAGCAAACCCAAGTGAAACAAACACGTGTAGCAAATCTAAAGAAACCTTTTCCTCCGTACCGCCACGGTCGTGCTGTCGAATTCACGCGTGTTTAATTTTAGACACCGGCTGAGCGGAATGGACATGACTCTGTCGGACTACGACGGCAGAACCGCATTGCACTTGGCCGCGAGCGAAGGCCATCTGGATTGCGTCGAGTTTCTGATCGAGCAATGCGGCGTCCCGCACGACCCCAAGGACAGGTAAATGCCGTGTCGCGCCACTCTCGAGAGAAGCGACGCTCCGAGATCGCGAGATTATTTCGACAATTTGGACGCGTCTTCCCGGAGGATTTCGACTCGAATCCGCCGCCGAAGACTCACTCCGCGAGTACCTCGCCTGTACGCCTCGCATTTTTCCAGATGGGGCAAACGACCGGTCGACGAGGCCGAGACCTTCGGGCACATGCAGGTGGTGGAGTATCTGAACAACTACGCTTTAGTGCACAAGACCGAACTCGAGAACAAACTCAAGAACGAGTGCATCGACGACGACAGCGAGCCCTGCAAAACGGCGGAAACGGCGGTGCAATCGCCGTTACCGTGAACGCCGAGCGGCGACGAATTTGCGCGAAACTGACGCTCGACGGCTGTGCGAGGGTGGAGACGAAGGGCCGCGTGGAAGCTGTCGCGAGAGACAAGGAAGAGGCGCGAGAAACGATGTATTGATCGTGGTAATGGGGGGGGGGGGGNAAGCATCGTAAACGATGAGAGTACTCATATAGGATCTTGCGATCGGCTTCGTATCGAGTCAATAATAAGTGCCAGATTCTCGATGTCGGATCACAAATTAAATGATAATTCGCAAAAACGATGACCAATCTTTCATCGAATATTCAAAACCATACACGGCCATACAGGGTGTCCCAGAACTCAATGGACAAATTTTATGAACACAGGACAGATTGAGATGAACAAAAAGTTCTGTACTATTTTACAAACGATATGCAAAATTTCGAGTCGTTAATTACTGAAAATGGCCATGTGTAGAAGCTTCTTTAATTAATAATTCAAAAATTGTATTCAGGATTTTTTGTCCATCTCAATTCGGTCTACGTGTTCATGAAATTTGTCCATTGAGTTCCGGGACACCCTGTATAAGTTGCAAAATTGATCTTAAAAATCATTTTTAAATATTACAAACCGTGCCATGCGAACGAGCATTCAATTTTTCGCCGGTAACGGTCTGGTATTGAATGATTTGATTCTTGGCCAATGATTGACAACTGGAGATCGATCAAGGGTTGATTCTATTGTGACGTCTGGCTATCTTACGTGGGCATTTCTCACATTTCCTTTACATTAAATTATTTAAACGATACAACGGTATATAATCTCATTGTTTTTTACTTTGATTACTCGCGATCACCGAACACACACGTTTCATTTGACATTATTTCGCGCGAACTCGATACGATCTTAAATCCGTTTTCCGTTCTTGAATTAAGATTACACTAGAACTTCGTTTCTTTTTCCTTCAACGTTAAAATTTATATTTCTCACTCTAACGATAAAAAATCCAACTTAGTTCAGGAACAGAAAATAGAACGTCTCTTGTCACGACGTTGAGCTGAAGGAATGCGTTCGCGCGTCAATTTCGAGGAGATAATGAATTTTTGGGACCCGCTGGCCGTGATCTCGTTCCATTTATGCGTAGTTGCATAGTTATCTCGCTGTTGAACGGCACACTCAGATCAACGGTAACTGTGATTGATATTACGTACGTATACGCCACACGTGGTTTCTTTCTATTGTTTAGTATAGCGTTCTGAAGAACTGTGGCAGTGGAGGGGTCGATTCGTATCGTGTCTTCTTTCTTAATTTATATTTTATCTCTACCTCGCATCCTTCACTATCGCAGACGGAGGGAAATACCTTCCCTCTTTAGAAAGTACTTTAATACATTTGTTTTTCACGTAAACTTGATAATAAAAACGCGACAAAGATTTCCGATTTACATATCAGGTCAGTGTGAAGGGTAACGGAGATACGGCCCGGCACGGTCTTCAGGTTTAACGGGACACTTTTCGTACGGTTTATTTATTTAACGGATCGAGATCGGAAAAAAGAGAAAGCGAATAATGTCGTGTGGTGATTTTGCGCGCGTCAACTTTGGTCGAGAGATCTCCTCAGGTTGCGCTCGATCATTGATTTTCTCGGGTACGCGGAAGAGAACAAGAACGTAGTCTCTTGTCTTTCGACACGAGACGTTTGCCTTACAGACGAGAGGAAATGCGGTTTTCGAAAGTAAGATTGAGATAGATTCGCTAAAGACGAAGATTCATTTTGCACCGTGAGCACGCGTTTAATTCGAGCCTCGCGACGAAAATAACGTAAAAATGAATGACACCGATGAGTTATTTCCGGATTTTCCGGCGTTTTTCCTCGAAAAACCCGGACTCATCCAGGTTTCTCGGATTCTCCCATTTTAGACGAAGTACAATCAATACAACAACGGCCGGACAAATTACTCGACGCGCTATCTCGACGTGTAACGGCGCTTATTATTCCTCTATTTAAATGTGCAGATTATAATCCGTTCTGTCTCTCACAATGGCGCGTAAAACACACGAATAACGAGTAGATCGGGAACCACAGATGCTATCTCGCGGGGATTTTTCGCAACGGTTCGCGCATAAATCGTGCGTTAAGCACGTCCTTTTTTTCTCTAGTATATCTTTTGATACGAGGCTTGCCGACACATTGAAGTTACATATCCGCTTTACGTCGAAACGTTCGCTCTTTGCACCGTAAGCATGCACTCGTTTCTCTTTTCTTATCATTTTCATTTTTCGCCCGGACGAGAAAGCGGATGATCCCGATAGCTCATAGTATATTTACACGCGTCGAGATGCTGGAGGAACGGGTATTGACGTGAAACGATGCGACATACGCTGTTACGACACATCTTCGTAATATCAGCAACGATGATACGTACATACGATGATAGAAGTATCGTAGAAGTACACGTCGTTTTCTGTAGTACGACAGTTCTCGGATAAACACGAGCTCCGCACCGTACGATCTCTTCGCGTTATACGAGAGATCATTCGCGCTCTTACACATACATATATATAATAAATACAAGCCGACAAGCACAAGGTTGGAAGAGTCAATTTCTCGCAACGTATTATCCAGTGCTTGCGATCCCCCATATTCGACGTTAGACGAATATTTTTGAACGGTAGCTAGGATCGCTTCGCGTAGAGGGGAAGACCTAATCTTATATTTTCTCCAAATGGACACGACAAAGTAACAAAAAGAAATGACAGATGACAATAATATCATTACTATTACATGTTTCGCGTTGCGCGAAGACGTAGGAACACGCGAGAGATTTATGCAGCGAATCTAGAACGCAGTTTTTCTTCCGTGGCGCGAACGCGCCGCGCAAAATCTCCCTTTTTCTTCTTCGTTTGTGCCATCCGTTTGCGGGAGAATTAGTTGCAGTATTAGTAGATCGGTGATAAGTTTCGCAACGAGAGATCCTCTTTGCGTATTTTTGTATGATTGTGCGGAGGGAACATTCGCTACTTCTTAGAGAGGCTTACTCGTATATTCGCGTAAGCAGCCTCGTATTATTGTCAATCGAGACCAAGTCTCAACGATGCGTCCATCGATGTATTTGCTCTGTCTATGAAATAAAATGGTTAAAGAAATTAATTTTCTCGTCGCCTTCATTGTTACTTTTCATACATACTTTTCTAGCTAGTTTACTGATGATGAGCACACCCGGTGTCTTCGATATAATTTGCGTAACTCGAGTGTAATAAATAATTTCCTTCGCTGAAAATAAATAAGTATTTATAAAATAAATATTTATTATAATTATAAATCGATCGTTCTTTATATTTTTAACTATGAATATCATTCTACACGGAGGAAAATGCTGGATCAAATAATTATTCCAATACTCTTTGGCAAATTTTTATTTAAATCAAGTAATTTATTTATTTAAAGTGAAATATTTTACTAAGTAAGTGATCTAAGTAAATTCTATTTAATCCAAATAAAAATTTGCTAAAGAGTCTCGGAATAATTATTTATTTGAATTTAGTACTTTTTTTTGGTGCGCGTCACGGAGCCGGCTGAAACATAAAACTGCGCGAAGCTTAATAAAAAAGAAAAAGAAAACTACAAGTTGCTCATTACCGAAGCTTTACCGGTTGCATTAAATTTTAATTCTTGGCCTTTCCACGTTTGACGTGCCAATCAAACGATCGTAAAATATAGGAAATGTATGCGCTTAGTGATAATAACTAAGAGAGATAGATCATGGAACATATCGAACGTACAGACGTGACGTAATATCACGACTGAGAATACAAAACAAAGACGGGAGGGGGAAGGGGGGTGGACAGCGACGAACAGTAATATCGAAAAACAGAGACCGTCTTCGACCTCGACATTGCGCGCGATGTCGCTTCTTGATTTTAACTCCAGCATGTTACGCGTGGCGATAATCGCGACGCGAAACAAAGCAAGTTGGCGGCAAGCGCAACTAATCGTTGCCGTTTTAATCGGCTGCAATAAAGCGTGCCCAATGATAGCCGGCACAGCGAGATACATGTTATATGTGTATTCATAGATACCTAAGTCGGATGTCGGACAGGACGCGCAACAACGGTGTTATTAATTAAAGAAGGGGAATTACATCGTCGCTGATTATCAAGTACGGCCGGTTGTAGGAGTTACGCGTCCGCGACGACGCGAGTTCGTTCGTAACTGGAGCGAGTGCGATGCGAAAGAAAAAAGATACAGCTCTGCGTACATTTCTTTTATTTTTATTTTTACTTCTATTTCTTTTTCTTATCGGGAAGCATATTTCCCCGTGTATCACGAATATCGATACGATTTTCTCTGCACAAACGGGACACAAATGCTGCATCGACAGAATTGCTCATCGGTGCTGTAATTGTATTAAAATTTTCCGTATACTATTAGCGTACTCGTATCTGAATATACATTAAATACACAGAAAAAAAAGATTTCTTTGAATTTAGTATATGTGTTTATTTGATATATGGATTTGTTTGATATATAAACAATATAATTTAATATCAGACATCATCTTGCTTGAATGAAAATATTGTTTTACTAGAGTAAGCCATATTGTTCGATCGAGAAAACAGTATCATTTAGAGGAAGTAATATTTTAATAAAAAACATATATTTCATTATATATTAAATATTGTACCACTGAATAGAGCAGTTCTTCAATATCTTTTAATATAGCGTCGCTTCTTTTAAATAATTTATTGCTTGTGATAACTATTGTAATGTTTGGATGAAAATACACAAGAAATATGTTATTTCACGTAAAGATATTTATTGTTTGAAAAAAATCAAACCAAACGATCGTGTTTGTTGAATCAAATATTTGTTTGTTTATTCTATTCCAAAAGGTAATTACGTTTCGATTAAATCCAAAACGTATCCAAAGAAATCTTCTCCTCTGTTTACGGCCGGAAAAGGTTCAGTTGATTGAAACATTCAAATTTATGCACACGATCCGTAATATGTTAATATATGTCAGACGAGGAGTACACCTATAATAAGTTACATGTAACGTAAACGCTGGGAAAATCAGAGATGATCCTAAACAACGGATGATTAATGACTCTTTGCTGCCTACATACGTGCATACACGCACGGTTACATCACACTGGCCGTGTGTGTCATCTAAATATAAAGATTATGAACGCGCCATTGATACTGCAGTTGAAGCACGTAAGCCAACAAACACTTGGGTTTTCCTGGCCGACGCCAAATTTTGTTGCCCGACCGCGCGAGATGAGTCATTGTAAACACCTGAAGGTTTTCCGTGGGTTTCGTATTTGGATTCACCGTATTACCACTCGCGATTTCGCAACATCGACGCTCTCTGTCTCGATCGAGGACAGATCGCCTCGAATTAATTTCGTGACACATTTTTTTCGTGAAGATTCGTGCGATTCGTTCTCGAGAAATAAATTCCTGACGATAGATAGAAGTGATCTCATGTGTTAATCTTCGGTATACCATCAGAATCTGTTAGATCCAATTTTAGTTTCCATATTTTTCTTCTGAGTAGTTCTATCTATTTGTAAGAATTTATATTTCACGACTTTTATTTACTGAAAGAAGAAATATCTAAGAAATAAAGAATATATTTATTCAGCGGATACTAATAAAACATGTTTATTTATATTAAGGTACATTTTTGCATTGAAAAGAGATTTTTCGCAAATGAGAAAACATATATTCTTTAAACCTTAAGCTTTTTATGAAAGCAATTATTTATTCTATTTAAATTAAGCAATTATTTATTCTATTTAAATTAAAAAAAGTATAAATTTAAGTAAATATGTTATTAGCATCCATCGAATAAACATTTTTACATATTTTTCTCTCGATGTTATTTCCAAAGGAGAGTTCCTGAAGAATGAAAAAAGAAGAATTTACTTTTTATTGATTAAAGGAATTAATCTTTCGAATTTACCAATATCACGACAGTACGTCAGGATTTCGTCAACAGATCGCACAAGTGAGTTTAAAATAAAAATGTCATTCACTTTGCGGTCTAAGTAACCTCGGTCACGTCACGGGGATTCCCCGGTTTGTTGGAATGTAACGGTGATGTCTTTCGGACGTGATGGTTGGAATAAACGCAGTTAGAAAGTTGCGTGTTATAGTCGACGATAATGATATTGAACAGCTCGTTTTCGCGCCGATCCTTGCGATGATGGCGACGGATGGAAACAACAAACTATTATCTCCGAGTGGAAATCAGACGTGCGAGTACATCGGATATATAAATATCAGTGTGTAATTAGTAATGCACACAAGGCCGCCTGCCGACTATCGTATAGATAATCGTTTACTTTCCGGATGTGCCCGCGAAAGAAATCGGTATTATTCCAATTAGTTCCACGTAATAATTCCCGATTCCCGGCTGACGAAATTCTCGTTACTAATGCCCAACGATCTCATCGACCGTCGAATATGTAAATAAGGGTCGAACAATATGACGTGTGCGCGATTTGACACGTATACCGAGAAGTCGAAGAATGCAAAAGCGCAGCCCGAGCGCAGCCGGATGTGTTTGACGGATGCATCAATGCCTCGCAAAGTCGCGACTTTGACGAGATTTAGCGATTTCTGAACGTTCCATAGCCAGTCGTTGGTTCGAACGATGGCTACAGGCCAGTCGTTGAACCTGACCTTGAAGAACCGGAACGGGTTTTGCAAGAGGCTTTGCTCGAGGATGAAGTCTATGAAAAACTGCCTCGTCCTTGATTGAATCGGTTACCGACTTTCGTCGATCAATCGGTCGCTCGATCGTTCGAACGACCACCTAACATCGTTGAGCTCATCGCGCCGGCTACGTGTGGAAGACCCCGTCGTCGCCGGTAACTTTCAACCTGTATTGAAACTCTTACGAAATGTGCTTCCGCGAAGCGCTTACAAAGTCGTTTCCTCGTATAGTACTGACTATTACGAGAAACTATAACTTATGCCTTAGGTAAGAACGATTTCTTCAACATTTAGCCTTGGCGTTAATGGACCGAACGTCTATATGGAGGAAAACCGTTCTCTTTTCTTTATTTTTATCGAGTTCTTTTTGCTCGTAACGCGATGGAAAGGGAAGCAGCTAGGAAAGCAGCTCTACTTTTCATGACAAAAACTACTTTCATTTTTTATTTTTTTCATTTTTGAAATACATTATTTTTTTAAACACTATTATATTATTGACACTCTTGGCAAGACGGATTCCTTGATACATATGTATATAGTAAAAAATTTTGTATTAAATTTCACACAAACATATTAACAAGGATCGATTTTAACACAAGCACAAAATGTCTTTTACTGTGTAAGAGCTTTGTAAGCTGTGTAAGAGCTCTCTGAGCTTCTTTGAGCAAAACAAACGTCTCGGTAACTTGATTCAAATTATCTATAATTAATTTCAATCGTACATAAGGAATTATATATGTTTGAAAAAAACTTCGAATCAGTCTGTCTTCTCTTTCACCTGCTTCCCACGTTTTAACCTAACATTTGACCTTACACCCTTTTTCGCATGACTTTCCTTGACCAGACGATGCAGGCCCTCAGCGGCAGCTACCAAGATTCGCGCGTCACAATGAAAGAGAAAGTATCTCGAAGACCATGAGGTGCGATTTTCGTTCCCCACACACGTTCGAGTCATCAGCCCGTTGACGCCATGCGTTCATTGGTTTTCCCCTGCATAGCAATGGATTTTTTCTCGTCGCGTCTCGCATAGATACTCTAATAGGGATTATTAAACGAGATTTTCGCACGCCTTTAACCAGAACGAATAACCAGAACGAACAGAAAGAGACACGCGCGGTATCGCGAAGATCATCTCGATCGCATGCCAATTGTATGCCGCTCTGCATGCATACTACTGTGACTTCTTTTTTTCAGGATGTGTGTGTGTGTGTGTGTGTGTGTGTGTGTGCGTGTATGTGCATATGCATGTGTGTCTGAATGTAACATTAAAAATGCAAAGGACGTCACTTATACGGACGTGTATTTACGTAGGTACTGCTTGATTGCGGTTACTTATGTTAATTTGTTTGTGAGAAGACGAAGAAGAGAGAGAGAGAGAGAGAGGAATGACGGTTATTCTTCCGGCGTTGCCCGTTTGCGTGAACAAAGCGAATTTTTGCACGATTCTGCGCTTGTCTAGATCTCGAAGTACTTCTTTGCGGGAAACCGGACCGAAGCCTAATGACGATTCGCACGTGCAAAACATACCAGATATAAAGCTTTATGTTACGCTACACTTGAGATGCATTCCACGCGTTACTTTTCGATTCGGTCATTTAAGATACATTAATCATTTATTTCCTCCGTTTTATTCCTAATTCATTTCTACTTGGTTTTATGTGTATTTCCAGTTTAATTTCTATTCTCACTCAAATTTAATAATAACCATGCAATATAGCGATAAGTATTGCATTAATCACATGTATTGCAGCAGCTCTTTTCTTACCGCATTTATTATGCCATCAATTTATTCCGTCATGATTCCCACAAATGCATGATATTTTTCAAGATGAAAGCTTCCAAGGAAGTGAGCGTAAAAATAGCAAATAAATCCGCCTCCGCGGTGCAATATTTGCTTTCGTGAATTTCTCCTGCAAGCGGTTAACCAGATAATTATCGTGACATCCTTGCGAAACAACACATAGAAACTCGAGCGCTACGTTTTCCACCGCGCGATTTCAAACTCCGTTCGAATTTCCAATGAGATCTTCCATCATCCGGTCACTATTATAAATTATCGCAGTCATCGATATAAAATATCGGTGAGGCGATTCAACGAAATTCGCGTGCACGCGAACGACAGCATCGCCGACTGCTTAAATTGCAAATGACGCCGCCACGTCGTCGAGACTGTTTGGGAATCAATATTTTTCTTCTATTGAATTTATTATAGCTTATGCAAGAACCGGGAATAATGTATGGGCGAGTTTTTATTTTATCAGAAATAATGTATTTGATTAATGCGCAAACTTCACCGCCGGGAGAATGTTACTTTTTTTGCATAATAAATGCAGACAAACCCGGACGCATATTTGTACATTTCCGTGCATTTTTATTTCATGGTGAATTGATTATTTACGCGACTATTACTTATACGTGCTTGCCTCTATATATTATAAAATATGTGTATGTGCGTAAAGATGCACACGTAGTGACGTCAAGAACGACAACGACGCGGCGGTAAAGTTAATATTACAGCAAAATAAGATGTTACGGCGAAATTTATTCAAATAAAAAAAATATCTCCAGACATGTCCAGAGTCGGTTCAAAAATTGTTTGCCCCTGTGAATTTGAGAGAACTAATAAAAGATCTGTGGAAAAGGTGACTGTAAATTATTCCGCGTATACATATCGCCACCACGATAAATCCTCTGAATATTTTTTCCCTTGATTCAAGTCCACATTGAACCACATCTCCTATTCCGAGCAATTCGCAAAAAATCTGCGTAACTTCTTACGACGGGTCGCACCTATACGAAATCCCCATCACGAGACTCAGCAGAGATCTCGTGTGAATAAGGCGATCTCCCGAAACACTAATTGTCTTCCAATCCGTGAAGAAGGATACCCCAGGATGGAAACAGTGTGAAACGCTTCGCGAAACGAGCGGACCTTGATGACCGAGTCCGCGCGGGCGCGTCCGTGACGGCGGAACTATTGTCGTTCGCACAGAATCTGACTCTCTGGATCCGGGAAGTCGCCCGACGTTGAAAGTGGATTAAGACTATTAGTACGGATACGTTCTGCTTCCAAAATACAAGTTTCCGCGGTATCCTGGATGAGATTTGTTTCACGCCGGGTTTTACGGAAGAGAATAACCGTGGAGGATTCCGAACGCAAATGCCAATGAGCGCGACGAAAGGCAGATAGCTAGATTGATGACCAGCGAGAAAGAGACGGTCAATTTTTAGCCGACGTAAAATCCACGCGTATGTCGTATATAAGATGTCTCGTCGGAGAGCTTCAGTCGCTCTTGACTCTCCGACCATCGAGACATCGGTGAGGCAGGCAAAACAAAAAGGTCAGCCAGTGTGTGACGGAGGAATCGGATTATCGTAATAAGTGAAAACACCATGAGATTGTTGGAGTGTCTGGTGCCGGCGGTGGTGCTGCTGTTAATTAGAGACTCCAGCGCGAGACCCGGTGACTTTCCGGGACCAGGTGATTTCCCCGTTTCCTTCTGCCCCGCGACAATTCGAGTGCTCGTCAGATTTAGTTAGATTGTCACGTTTGCTCGCCGATATTTATACACAGTAACGACACGACAGCCGGCTCGAACTGTGTAAATATGCGATATTGATACAGTTTTTGCACATGTGGGATTTTCGCGATCCGGCAACCGTCGTAATTCAAACGTTTGATTAATTATTATTTAAGGGAAGAAAATAAATTAATATTTTTCACGATCTTGATTGAATTTACAGTATTTACTTTTCAATTTACCAAATTTTTTTTATTTTAGTATTTATAACAAAAAAAATGTGTTAGATTCAAGTAAATAAATATTCCAGTACTCCTTAGTAAATTTTTACTTGGATCAAATAAGTATTACATAATAGCAAAAACTTTCCCGATGACTGGGGATTAGGCGAAAACTCGATTGCAGGAACAGATTTTCGTGCAAGATTTTTTACTCACTCGCGCTCTCATGTTTCCGCTATTATGGTTTAAATTTAATCGACGATTAACTCAGTGGAATTGACAAATCACATTGGTCGGTTCAGCTAATCTAAGTTCAACAAATGGTCAATGCGATTGGTCAATCCCGTGAGTTAGTCGTCGATTAGATTTAAACTACGATGTTAGAAACAGGCATCAGTTGCCTTAACCAAGTTTTAATGCGGCTGAGTGTTCTCAGCCGTGCAAACAGATATTTCTTATCATCGAGTTTTCATCCGGTCCCTACACTCGGAGAAGAATATAGTAACACAGGTGACAAAACTATACGAGATGACGACTATACAACTATACATTAAAAAAAATTATTCCCCTGAGAAACAAAGAAGCTTTCCTTAATATTTTTCTAACATAGTGCTGCTTCTTTCAAATAATTTGTTGCTCGTGGCAACAATTGTTTAGATGAAACTACAAAAGAAATGCGTTATTTGACGTAAAGATATACATCGCTTGAGAAATCAAATGATCTTGTTTGCTGAATCAAACATTCGTTTGCTCCAAAAACAAATTCGACAGATTCCAAAAGACAAATTTTATCGAACCCAAAGAAAACCCGAAGAAATTTTATCGAACCCTAAGAAATTTCTATATGTATATATTTTTCTCCGAATATGTTCAGTTGAAATTTTTGTATGTATATATTTTTCTCCGAATATATTCAGTTGCGGGAACTGAGTTTTCTTCCGTGTATAGTATCGATCACACGAGTCAGATAATGAAGGAAAACTGACGATTGACATTTTTCACAGCAGGCAGCTTTGGAATCGACCCGGTGCAAGGATTCTTCCCGGGCGGCGGTCACCATCACGATTACGATCACGATTATGATTACTATCACGATCACCATCACCATCACCATCACGATCACGATCACCATCACGATCACCATCACGATCACCATCACGGTCACGCCCACGGAATTCATGGCAGCATTACCTTCTTACCCGGTGGCGCAGGCTCAAACGCCATCGCCAAAGCTAAAGCCAAAGCTAACGCCGGCGGGCAAGGATCGATGGGCGCGCACAATACGTCCCCCGAGGACGAGTCTGTCCACGGCGGAACAACGGGAGACAACATCAACAATTTCGACGAGTACCCGCCGATTGAGATCGCAACCGGTGTTTTGGGCAAGGAGACCTCCACCAGCTCACCGGGACAATATCCGAGTTCTTACCCGGGCGGATCCGCAGGATCTGGTGCGAACGTTGGCGCTGGAGCCGGCGGGCAAGGATCGGTGGGCGCGCACAATCCGTCCCCCGAGGACGGGTCTGTCCACGGCGGAACACCGGGAGTCAACATCCACAATTTCGACGACGAGCTGAATATTCACATCATCAGTCTCAGTGACAAGCTCAAGAAGATCCTCACCAGTTCCCCGGGACAATATCCAAGTTTTTACCCGGGCGGATTCGTAGGATCTAGTGTGAACCCTGACGCTGGAACCGGCGCTGTTGAAGGTGAACACGGTGGTCACGGCGGATACGGCAGAGGTATATTCGTCTATTACACGTAAATCTTTGTTCTTGGTTTATGTGGCCATTGCATTCACCCGCAAATCCGCTCGTTCGAGTTAACACTCCGTCCTTCGCAGAAAACACATCAGTATCGACTCGAGACTCGTGTTCTCGTATTGTAAAGAAAAATTCGACATAGTTTCATGAGAAATAGCATATTCTTGTTATCCAAGAACGATTTCTACGAAGAGGAAAAAATATTGGATAGAGAAAAAGATTTCTGTAGACATTTTGATTTCTTTATGTCAGATAACGTATTTCTTTTCGTACGTATTTTCACACAAACATTACAATGGTTGTCACAAACAACAAATTATGTGAAAAAAGTAACACTAAAACTTTTCGAACTAATATAATTCTTAGTTCGGAAATATCGTTGTTTTCATCCAATATTTTTTCCCTCGATTCATGATAATTATCCATGAGCAACGAGAATATGATATTTCGCTGAAATTGTATAGAATTTTTGTTTATTAAAGCCTTACTTTCATATAAGATTACATATACTTGCTTAAATATGAGAATACGAGTCTCGAATTAATATCAATCTTGTATCCGTGTAATCGTGTAATCATGCGATTTGTAGCATAACTTATGCCCTCATAACCGTTCTTTCGTCGAAACCAGCGTGACAGACCTCTTCAGACGCGGTCAAACAACCTGGTGCAGAGCACGACACTTTGAGATCCGCATCGACGTGTTACTTCTTCCTGCCTACCGTGCAACTAACGCACTAAATTAACGCGTACGTGTTGACCAGCACAATTCATCTCCTCAATCAATCAATCGATCAATCAATCGCCTAGCCGCCATTCTTACGCAACACTCGGCGGCGCTCGTCTCCGTCACGTAACATCTAATTATATGTAAATATTTGCGGGCCAATCGATCATCGGAAAACAAACGACGCGCTTTTCCTTGTAATCTCCGGCGCGTCGTTTGTCCTGCACAACCCCGCACCGGAGGTGGATGTCATCCTACACCATGCACATCGTCAATTAACTCACCGAGTTCGCCAGGCTGAACGACTCAACGCCACCGTGTCCATTTCTTCCACCTCAAGTCGTATGATCACGAGAATCGGATGATCCCTGAGTCATGCATAATCGAACGAGAAAGGACAATGGAAGCACTCTGCCAGCGAGGATTCGATCGGAAGCACATTCATTTCACACGTGGGCCACGCTTTCATGTGCCTTTGTCCCGATACTCATCGTAATCGAGCTGTTCGTGTTCACTTTCACAGACCTGAGCGCCGGCACCAAGGCGACGGCAGCGTCCATGGCGGAAAATATGGCGTCCGGAATGATCGTAATTAAATGAATTCCCTATTTTACCTGCCGCAGGCTCAAACGCCAACACACAAGCGTCCTCGTCGTCGAATGCGATCGCGTCCGGAGGTGGTGTCGACTTGAGGAAAGCCATCTTGGATTCCTTGGCTAACGCGTTCCGCGATGACGGTTCCACCTCGGCGAACCGCCCCAGCAAGGCGCCCGCTTACACCCAGGAGTCGGGATCACCAAGCGCAAACACGGACGTGCATGCGTTGGCGAGATTGGGATCGAAGAGCTCGGTGTCGAGCGACGCGTCAGCCAACGTCGACACCAGGGACATGTTGATCTTCATCTAATCGAGACAATCATTGTTATACCGAAGCGGATCGTCGAGCTTCCTCAAGAGGATCCTCCGTCCGGCCACCACGAACCGCACATAATACTCCGCTTTTCGTCTTTCGGTGTTCCGTAAGAGCGAGTACGGTCGTCGGTATGAGTACGACTCGGATGTCGATCGTGTGACTTTTACCCTAGGGTGGAAAAGTGAAGATTTAAAGAATGTTTTCGAGATGGAAACTTTACTCTTTTCACGAGTTCACGCCAGAGGAGGGACCTCCTGAGCGTCGGTCATGAATCTTCTTCTCTGGCGAACTCGTGAAAGGTGGACATTTTCTAATTTGGAAAAATTGGGAAATTTTCACTTTTTCCTGAGACGAGAACGTGAAAAGTGAACATTCCAAATGTGCACTTATGTCGAGCCTGGCATTTCATGGTTTTTCGTGCTCGACCAAGATTAGGATACTTAAGAGGAACGCTTTTCATTGGATGTAAGCAGGAAATATAAAATGTGCAGACGAAATCTTCTTCGAATGAATTCTCTGAGTGGACCACTCTTATGCTCATCTGTTTTACGACGATCGGTATGATTTTAATATACGTGAATTTGTACATTTTTTCTAAGCCGGTAACATAGTGCAGTATTTAGAACAGCACTTTTAAGACGCCTTAATTTAATACTTCTTTCTCTCTCCCTCTCTCTATATATATATGTAATGTGTATTTATAAGCGTATTTTTAACTTATACTATTGCGTGTGCTTTCGATGCGAAATCGAAAGTGTGCAGATCGCCTCTTGTGAACTCTGGATCTGTGATTCGCGCGGAACTCGTCAATGTTAATGTTAATATATAATATATAATAATAGTAATAAAAATAATGTGCAAACTAC